AAGAAAGTCAGACTTTTAAGGAAAATTCTTTGCCATGGGTGAGGAATGTATTATACATATCTTACTAGTTACTGTAAGAATATTAAGGCTACATACAAAATTTGTGATTTTAACCTGTATTCTTTTAAATTATATGGAGAATGGAACAGGAAAGAGCATCCAGTTTAATCATATTGAATTAAAAAGAAACAAAATGAGTGAAGGAAAAAAAGAAAAAAATGAACTATTTTCTTATTGTTCTACTTGATACACTACTATAATGATCTATAGGAAAGACCTCACAGAAAAGGGCCAGTACAATCCGCAAGTAAAGGAATGATGTAAGGAGTGAAGGATTAAAAGTGAAAAGACTTTGTAGTAATTATTTTAAAAATGTTTAACTGTGATTAAGAAAAATACACCTGTACTCTTTGCTTACATGTACTTGTACAATGCTTTATAATTTTCAATGCTTCTCCATATAAATTATTTCATTTGGTCCTCATGATACCTTTGTAAGGCAAGAAAGGCAAATATTATTCCCATTTTATAAATGAAAACCAGGTCAGTACCTTACCAAAGCAATTTTATATGTTTATGGCAAAGTTACTGCTGCCTCCAACCCAGCCAACACACCAAGCAGCTTCTTCACATGGGAAACACATTCATCACCCAGTATACAGGGCAATTTTGACGTGCTCAAAGTCTGTCTTCCCAGGCAATATTTTGCTCAGCTTTCTCTGTCAGAACACCCTTCTGGTGAATAAACTCTTCATGAATATTTAATTTAGCCATTTAAGAATGTGTTGAGAGGCAATGGACACTGAACTTGAGAATCAGAAGGCCCGGATTTAGATCCGCTGCCAGTGACTAGCTATTGTGACCCAGGGCAAATCGCTTCACATCAATTTTTCAGGGGTTGTAAAACAGGAACATTACTTCACAAAGTTCTAGTAATAGTTTAAAAAGACAACCTAAATAAAAAAGTGTTACTCATGCTTGGTATTATTAATAATAAATAAAAACGTTTTCAGTCCTTTTACAATTTGGCAGCATAAATGTGAGACTAAAAATAATCTTCAAAAGCATTTATTTTAGTTATTATTAGTAGTAGGTAGTATATGATTCTAAAAATTAATTAGAAACAGATTTTCACTCTATCAAATAATATACCAACACTGAAAAACTTAATGATAACACAATCAGCTAAAAGAACAAAAAACCATTTTGTTTGCCCATAATTGTTTTATGTCTGAATTATCTCATAAAAATAAGCAAATATGTTTAGGGTAATGATACTGAAGTTATTTTGTAAGCCAACCCGTATTTTAGTTCAATTTCCTCTTTTGAAACAGGGACCTACCTTGTCCTACATATGTCAGTAACTAATTATAAACCTATACTACAAAATTTATTCTTACTTACTAAAAGCAGTAGCTTTCAAATTTTCTTTGCCACAACCCAAGTGGAAAATACATTTCACATCAAAACCCTGCATACAGACAATAAAAATTATATAATCTACTAGTGATGTACTATGATAGCTCCTATTCTATTAGATTCCATTTTCTTTAAAAATACTGGTCACACTCACTAAATTGACACATAATCCAATTATGGGTGGCTGCCAGGG